TGTGAGTGAGGGAAGGAATTCACAAGTCATGGTCATCGTGGATCGTTTCTCAAAATTTTTGAATTTGATTCCTTTACCTCCTTATGCCCCAACCAAGTTTGTGATCGAAGAATTCCATCAACAGTGCATTTTGCAGTATGGCCACCTGAAAACTCTTGTGAGTGATCGGGACACCAAGTTCATTAGTAAGGATTGGAAGTATTTCACCTCTCAAATCTACGGCGTTAAACTCAACATAACTTCTGGTCGACACCCTGAAGCCAATGGCTTGGCCGAGGAAATCAACCAGGCCGTCATTCATCTACTTCGCGCGTTAATTGTTCCCGATCAGAACACGTGGGACAAGGAGTTACATAAAGTGAAGGGGTTGTACAACAACTCCATTCACTCCTTGACTGGCGTGACACCGAATCAGCTGCAATACGGTTGGCAGTTGCGCAATCCTCTCTCCTATTTGTTCCCTGATCGGTCACGTGGACTTACGCCCGGCATGCCTGGCTACAATGACAAGTATGCACGCTTGCTCAAAGCTGCTATCGCAGCAATTAACAAGCGTCAACATGCCATGATCAAACATGCTGACAAGTCACTCAAAGAAGGGAACTTCGATGTAGGAAGTTATGTCTGGGTCAAAATGTCTGAATTTTCTGAGGAAGCGGGCGTATTATGGAAGCTTCTTCCATTGCGCTATGGCACTTGGCAAGTTCTAAAGGTGGTAGGGGATGATTTTGGTCCTTCGTATGTGATTGACGTGCCTCCTCATCTGCGCACTTATCTGGTCTTTCATGCGTCCAAATTGTTTGCACACATCGATGATGAGACTTTTCCCTTTCGGGATCCTATGATACCTCGTGCTATCAACAGTGGCCAAAAAATAGACAGAATTGTTTCCCATGAAGGAAGAGGGAGGAACAGACCATACAAAGTCCACTTCCTTTATCACCCATTGAACGAGTTCTACTGGATCGACCGAAAAGAACTGCTAAAGAATGCTCCCAGTGTTGTTAATGCTTATGAACGACAAATCGCCGATAGACAGACTACTAAGTTTTCTGCAACACTCACTCCTCACGATTATACTAAAACTCTCTTTCTGATCTACGCCTACGACGCATTTTGTGCCGACTCTGAATGAGTTACTCGCTCGAAGGGACCTCGCTCTTGAGAGGGGGGTAGTGTAATGACCCGCCAAAACACAAACTGAGAACACTGCTGATTTCTGGGATTTGCCACTGGAATGAATGCCTTGCTGAGATTCCCACATTCTGTTGTGATTTCTAAGTCTGTGTGAGTGTGCGTGCCTGCTGGTTTGCGTGCCTGTCTGAGTGGTTGTCGGCCTGAGTGTGTGTGTGACCCGTAAGGGTACTTGTTGGTTGAAAGGGCCGGCAGGGCTGGTACTTACCTATGGCCGTGACTTTAAGGGTTGCAGCGGGGAAAACACAAGTAGCAGGTAGGCCGGTACCACTCAAGTAGTGGTAGAAGTGTCGGGTACTGGAGGCCGAGCAGAAGAAGACAAAAGTTGGCATTTTTAGAGGCCCAGTAGCGGTATGTTAGAGGTAGATTGGTACCAGTCCAAGTAGCCTGAGTCTAGGGCCTGTCCGGACGATATCAGAGCCCGCAATGATGTTTCCCTTTGGAAGGGAGGAGGTACCGGTTGCCGGGAGGCCACTCGGCCTAGGAAGTCACCGCCCAATAGGCCACTAGGCTGCTCTATCTTCAGGAGGAGCAAGCAGCTGCTCGTCATTTGAGGTGTGCAAGGATTGGCGACATACTGCTGGAGCCAAGCGCTGGACTTGGGAGCGCTGCTGGGAGGAGGAGAGCAGCTGGGCGCTCAGCCTGGCTATGACAAGCAGCCCAGCCTGAGGAGGAAGAAGAAGGGGGCGAAGGAGGAGAGTGCCGAGGTACCCTCCTGCCTATGGTGGACACCATCTTCGTCACCTTGTTGGGCGCTGCATCTGGAAGGCCCCAGTTGGGGTAGTGCCACACCAAGCAAGCTCGAGGCAGAGTCAGGCATGGCGGCTTAGTGAGCAGCGGCATAGCTGCTTTGTGTTGTCCTTTGGACAGGAGTGCAGCGCCATAGCTGCTTCGTGTTGTCCTTTGCACAGGAGGGCAGAGCCCTTAGTAGTCCGCCAGAGCCTAGGCATGTGAGAGGAGTAAGAAGGGGGAAGCCATAGCTATGGTGGACCTGTTGTTGTGTAAGCAGTAAGAAGGAACTTAGGATATTGATTATGGTTCATCCACTCATCGTTATTATTATTATTGGAAGAAGAATAAGATTGGTGAAGTGGACTCGAAGATGGCCAGGCTCTTGGGGACAGAAATCCCCAAGCGGTTGCAACCTTATCAGAGACATATGTTTTATTTGTTGAGACAATACGGGCTGTGGACAATCTGGAAAAGGAGATGTCAGGCAACGATGGAAGGAGTACTAATGCATAGGCAGGAAGCCAAAGAACTGCTTCTCAGGTTACTGGAAACGCACCTCAATGCTCAGTGGAAGAAAGTGAARCAGCAGGCGCGACAGCAGCTGGGTCAAGAGGAGGAGATAATCAAAAAATTCAAACAGAACACACTGGGATCAGGGGCAGTTGCACAAATTAGGGGCACACAGCTCCACTTCAAATGGAGGGAACAGAGAGGAGGGAATGGGAATGGAGGCGAAGGGTAAAGGAAAGAGCCTAGAGAGAGAAGGAAGGCGGGAAGGAGGGAGGGCGGGTATCGGGAAAGACAGAAATACTGCTGACAACAGGGAAACAAGGGTGCCCCCCGAGAGAATAGTACAGCTTCAGGGAACGTCAGTTATGAATCGACAGCAAGTAAGGAAGGTTGTAACATTAGAAGGAGGGTCAGACATAGAAGGATCAGGAGGTCAGCATAAGTAAGGCGGGTGCAAGGGAGACAAGAGGGAAGACCAAAGCACTGGAGGGAAGGGTAGGGTTAAGGGTTTAGGGTTCAACAGCTCTCGGGGGAAAGGGAGGATAAAAGGTACTAAGGTGTAAGTAGCAGTACAGGGAGGAGAGTCGAATAAAAGCATGATCAAATGGTAGTGTGGTTACTAATCAGGGTATAGGGAGTAACGTTTAGGTAGACAAGGCCAACTGAGGGCCTCCTTCCTTTTTCAACGATGCTACCTGGCAGATTGGGCTGTCCAGTCTGAGAGGAAAGAGAAGGGTTGGGAGAAAAAAAGAGGAACCGGACTGAGAGGGACTGGTACCCCACATCACGCAGGGATTAGCTTAACGTAGTTAAAACCTACTTCATCCTTTACTACCTTCCGTGTTAAAAAGATTAGCATTCCCACTGTGAAGCTTTCTTGATCCTTGGATACTCCCGGGTAGACTGTGAGGACCCCGGCCTCATCTACTTTTATAAGGGACGTTGGGCCCGGTTCCCAACACGTGCGGCTCCCCACGAATAGATTGGAGCTATTGTTTGGGAAAAAAAAAAAAAAAAAAAAAAGATTGGTGAAGTGGAGGAGGAGGAAGGTGGAGAGAGAAGGGGGATTTGTCATTGGTCTTGCTGGTGTACTTCTTCTTCTTCTTCTTCTTTTTCTCTTCTTTGGTCTCTATCCCTTTGCAAGTGCTTTCATTTCTTTCACAATTGGGTGGCATTGTCTTCCATTGTGAATTTGCACTTTGGGAATGACCAGGATCGTGAAAAAAAAAAAAAAAAACAAGATGCACTACAGCCAACGGGGGGGAACCAGCCCATAGGACAGAGGGCCACCCGGTCCTACCGGGTTTACAGCACTGATTTGGACAGATGACCACTACAAATACATGTGGGATTCTGTGTTTGCTCTTGTTGTTTTTATTTTGAGACAACTGCGCCTGTGCCCGCTGGACAATTCAGAATTCGCAGAAATAACAGTCTACTGCAAGATTGGGCGAAGACCAGTTAGAAACTGCAAGAAAAACAGTAAATCATGCGTTCGACGGCCTACCGGTTCAATAATTGGCAAAAACGGGAGGTGGTGGTAGTGGTACCGCCCTTTTTCCAGTGGCCTGGCCTCGGAGCAGTTACTGGTAGCAGGCCCTCCCGTTTTTGGCTAGTTTCCCCAGGGGTGTGGCCCAGCCACGGGCGTGGCCTAGACATCTCAGCCATGGGCGTGGCCAAGACATCTCGGCCATGGCCCAGCCACGGGTGTGGACTAGACAGCTCTGCCGTGAACATGAGTGGCCGCCAGGTTTTGCCACTTCCGAACTTCCAACAGCTAGAAGTGCACAAAGCTGTTCTGTTTTTGCAGTTTCTAACTGCGCTCGCCCCAGAACCGCAGTGCCCTGTTATTCCTGCGAATCCGGAACTGTGCAGCAGTCACCCGGGCAGTTATTTCTGTTATTTTCGTTCTTGGTTTTTTGTTTTTCTTTTGGAAATATGGTGAGTACTGTGGTGAGGCTGAAGTCAGGGCCTCACTCCAACACTAGATGTGCAAAATGAGAATGAATTGTCCGCAAGGAGCACCGTAATTTTATCTCTTCTGCATGTGGTGGTGATACAGAAAAGACAAAAACTAGGGCTCTGTATCTTTCCTAGAGGACGACTCATTCTCATTTTGCACATCTGGTGAGTAGTGGAGCGATGGCAAAACGGTCCCACCTTTTTTTCACACAGACTGCTGGTATCGGCACCACCTTAGATTTGCCAATTTGCGGTACTGATTGAAAGCAGGGTCAGCAAAATGCATTTTTTGGTTTTTCAATAGAGCTTCCGATGAACTGGTGGTTAAATCCCCTCTCTGAGGCTGAGATCAGATGATGGCCACAGCAAGGCATGTGAGAACAGGAAATACAGAAACCATCAGAAGATTACATACAAGAACATAAATGGCTGCAGAAAAAGCATGCCAACCAGGCCTCGAACGTCAACTCTGCAATGGTCATAGCTAAGTCCACTGTGCCAAATCTCTGTTCGGTCCCTTGCTGTTCCCAAAACAGTCTCCCTGCATCAGTGGTTGCCGCAATAAAAATTATATCTTTCTGTGTGCTCGTGTGTGTGAGCAGGATTTTTGAGACCCCTATTTGTGAAGAACATCCACAATTAGGGGTGAACCGACAGCTATGTCAAGTGCGTCCAGAGAGCAGCTTGTTTTCAGGGTCTTCAGATTCTGGTACACCTGAAAACTGTTGCGCACCTGGTACAAGGCCGTTGCCAGGGCAGCGCCAGTGTCAATGTGTGTTTCCCCTTTATGTCTTTATCCGTCTCTCAGCGCCACCGTTCCGAGACTTTGATAGCGAGAGGATTTTGTCCTTGAGACAACAGGTTGCTAAAGACCTGAACTTAAATGAGACACAGGTACAAGTTGAAAATTTCACTGCTGCCGGTGATCGGCTGGAGATGGCACTTACATTCTATCCACCAGAATTTCGATCATTGAATGCTGAAGAGATGACGATGATCAAGGATGGTTTGTACACTCAGAAGGTTCACCTTGGGGCAGATCTTGGACCATATGTTGCACTTAACTACAGCCTACCGGGCGGTATGTACGTTCATTTCTCCAGCTTCTTAATCCCAACCATGCACAAGATGTCCTGTGACCAGCAACAATGCCTGTTGTCGTGCCCACTTGTCTGTCCTGAAGCATGGAATTTCTAAAAGATATCTTTGACAAACTCAGCAACATCTTCAATTGTGTGTGTGTGTGTGTGTGTGTGTGTGTGTGTGTGTGTGTGTATTATACACAATCACCACCACAACTACTGGATGCATAGATATCATAAAAGGGTGTTGAAGAAGGATTGATGGCAGCTACTCATCTTGTAGTCAGGAGAGATTTTGCACAATGTGGGGAGGGCGCTTTGCGAGGGGTGGGGAATGTCTGCCTACACTCTCAATTTACTAGAGGTGCTGGAGTTTGATGGAGTGTGGCCCACTACGGGTGGTTGGTTAGATGGCCTGACGTGCTAGGTAGCATGGCATTGGCATGCCAAAAGGAAACCAGACTCACGCTCGCAGTTATTCGAGCTAGGCGTGTCAAGGCTGCAATTGCATATCGGGGAGCTAACAAGGGATGTGGGAAGGGATGAATGCAAGACAGACATTCTCAACGCAGAGGCTGGCAGCGATCATCCCTTCATGGTGGTAAGAGCAGAGATTATGCTTTGCACATGTAAGCTGAACTATACCTACATTTTAACAGAATGGCATGGCACAGGACTATCTCTGAAGGGGCCCCTGCACCAACGCTGGTGGAACCTCTCTGACCTTCACAGGCAGGTACCACAGCTACGTCAGACGCAGGGAGGGGAAAGGACTGACCAAATTGTCTTCCGAAGGGGATAATGTTTCATCTCCTCCAAGCAGCAGTCCTAGAAACACATGCTGTTTGTGATTAACCAGCCAAACCTTGTGTGACGCACTGTGTGCCCTTATGCCGTTTATCCCACAGAGCCCATGAATGATCCGGTGCTGATGTGACCCATACAATGTAGGACGTTGGCATGGATACCCGGATCCATGCCAGGGATACAATTCTACAGGCCAGGCTGGAGTTGCCTTCCATGAACACCATAGACAGAGCTTAGGGGATGCAATCATAAGTGTGGAGAGACATGCACTAATAGTGTGGTACAAGCAGTGGCCTCGCTGGGCACAATTGTGTCATTAGCTCTGCAGATTGCACCATAGGGGAACGTGCATTCCAGTCCCTGCAGTTTCTACAAAGGCACTTCTGGCTGCAACGACTTTGATGGCTCTAACAAGCTCGTCGGGGCCAGGTCACCTCCAGCTAGAGCGGCTTGAGTAAACAACTGTAGGGTGCATCATCATGGTTTGGAGGAGAAGGGGGAAATGTAGTCGGACATGGGTAAGAATGGGTGGGCAGAAGTGAGTCAGGCAGATGCCAGATGCAGGGACTGGAAACTGATCACCAGGGTTGCTCACAGGGGTTGGCAGCCAGTTGTGCAAATGCTGTCCAGGTGGCAGCAGTGCATGTCTTATGCAAACGCAGGCCAGTAGCTGTATTGCATTTATGACTGCATTGTGGACATGACACTCAATGTATGCAGTTCCTAGCATGGTAACCGCGGACCCAGACACCGGACACATCCGGACGGTATTCCGGACTTCTGTCCGGATCAGTCCGGACAGTTAGGTGATCCAGACATCGGCGGACCGGACATCGGCGGACCTGGACAGTCCGGACTGACGTCAGGGTTCCGAAAATGTTCGGACCCGCCCAAAAAAAAAATATATATATATATATATCGTCACATATATATATATATATATCGGTGAAACTCCGACGAAACAGTTTGTCACAGCCCCTCGTTTGTTGTCCTCTTCTCCCTCTCTGCCTACGGTTTACCGGGCAGTTCTATTTGACGATATATA